CTCTAGACCCTTCCAGAGCTGAGATATCGAAATTCAAAATTTCGACCCGAAAAAAAAAACGACAGTGTTACCCCTTACGTTTTTTTTCATTTTCGGGCAAAAAATTAAGTTTCTCCAATCTTCTCAAAACTCTGGATTATGATAGAGGGCTGTGAGACTTTGACCTGAGTGCAAAAATGGAGGCTCTAGACCCTTCCAGAGCTGAGATATCAAAATTCAAAATTTCGACCCGAAAAAAAAAACGACAGTGTTACCCCTTACGTTTTTTTTTCATTTTCGGGCAAAAAATTAAGTTTCTCCAATCTTCTCAAAACTCTGGATTATGATAGAGGGCTGTGAGACTTTGACCTGAGTGCAAAAATGGAGGCTCTAGACCCTTCCAGAGCTGAGATATCGAAATTCAAAATTTCGACCCGAAAAAAAAAACGACAGTGTTACCCCTTACGTTTTTTTTCATTTTCGGGCGAAAAATTAAGTTTCTCCAATCTTCTCAAAACTCTGGATTATGATAGAGGGCTGTGAGACTTTGACCTGAGTGCAAAAATGGAGGCTCTAGACCCTTCCAGAGCTGAGATATCGAAATTCAAAATTTCGACCCGAAAAAAAAACGACAGTGTTACCCCTTACGTTTTTTTTTCATTTTCGGGCAAAAAATTAAGTTTCTCCAATCTTCTCAAAACTCTGGATTATGATAGAGGGCTGTGAGACTTTGACCTGAGTGCAAAAATGGAGGCTCTAGACCCTTCCAGAGCTGAGATATCAAAATTCAAAATTTCGACCCGAAAAAAAAAACGACAGTGTTACCCCTTACGTTTTTTTTTCATTTTCGGGCAAAAAATTAAGTTTCTCCAATCTTCTCAAAACTCTGGATTATGATAGAGGGCTGTGAGACTTTGACCTGAGTGCAAAAATGGAGGCTCTAGACCCTTCCAGAGCTGAGATATCAAAATTCAAAATTTCGACCCGAAAAAAAAAACGACAGTGTTACCCCTTACGTTTTTTTTTCATTTTCGGGCAAAAAATAAGTTTCTCCAATCTTCTCAAAACTCTGGATTATGATAGAGGGCTGTGAGACTTTGACCTGAGTGCAAAAATGGAGGCTCTAGACCCTTCCAGAGCTGAGATATCAAAATTCAAAATTTCGACCCGAAAAAAAAACGACAGTGTTACCCCTTACGTTTTTTTTCATTTTCGGGCAAAAAATTAAGTTTCTCCAATCTTCTCAAAACTCTGGATTATGATAGAGGGCTGTGAGACTTTGACCTGAGTGCAAAAATGGAGGCTCTAGACCCTTCCAGAGCTGAGATATCAAAATTCAAAATTTCGACCCGAAAAAAAAACGACAGTGTTACCCCTTACGTTTTTTTTCATTTTCGGGCGAAAAATTAAGTTTCTCCAATCTTCTCAAAACTCTGGATTATGATAGAGGGCTGTGAGACTTTGACCTGAGTGCAAAAATGGAGGCTCTAGACCCTTCCAGAGCTGAGATATCGAAACTCAAAATTTCGACCCGAAAAAAAAACGACAGTGTTACCCCTTACGTTTTTTTTTCATTTTCGGGCAAAAAATTAAGTTTCTCCAATCTTCTCAAAACTCTGGATTATGATAGAGGGCTGTGAGACTTTGACCTGAGTGCAAAAATGGAGGCTCTAGACCCTTCCAGAGCTGAGATATCGAAATTCAAAATTTCGACCCGAAAAAAAAAAACGACAGTGTTACCCCTTACGTTTTTTTTTCATTTTCGGGCAAAAATTAAGTTTCTCCAATCTTCTCAAAACTCTGGATTATGATAGAGGGCTGTGAGACTTTGACCTGAGTGCAAAAATGGAGGCTCTAGACCCTTCCAGAGCTGAGATATCAAAATTCAAAATTTCGACCCGAAAAAAAAACGACAGTGTTACCCCTTACGTTTTTTTTCATTTTCGGGCAAAAAATTAAGTTTCTCCAATCTTCTCAAAACTCTGGATTATGATAGAGGGCTGTGAGACTTTGACCTGAGTGCAAAAATGGAGGCTCTAGACCCTTCCAGAGCTGAGATATCAAAATTCAAAATTTCGACCCGAAAAAAAAACGACAGTGTTACCCCTTACGTTTTTTTTCATTTTCGGGCAAAAATTAAGTTTCTCCAATCTTCTCAAAACTCTGGATTATGATAGAGGGCTGTGAGACTTTGACCTGAGTGCAAAAATGGAGGCTCTAGACCCTTCCAGAGCTGAGATATCAAAATTCAAAATTTCGACCCGAAAAAAAAACGACAGTGTTACCCCTTACGTTTTTTTTTCATTTTCGGGCGAAAAATTAAGTTTCTCCAATCTTCTCAAAACTCTGGATTATGATAGAGGGCTGTGAGACTTTGACCTGAGTGCAAAAATGGAGGCTCTAGACCCTTCCAGAGCTGAGATATCGAAATTCAAAATTTCGACCCGAAAAAAAAACGACAGTGTTACCCCTTACGTTTTTTTCATTTTCGGGCAAAAAATTAAGTTTCTCCAATCTTCTCAAAACTCTGGATTATGATAGAGGGCTGTGAGACTTTGACCTGAGTGCAAAAATGGAGGCTCTAGACCCTTCCAGAGCTGAGATATCAAAATTCAAAATTTCGACCCGAAAAAAAAACGACAGTGTTACCCCTTACGTTTTTTTTCATTTTCGGGCAAAAAATTAAGTTTCTCCAA